GAGTGTGAGAGAGGGGGGGGGGGGAGGCAAAAACGTGAATGGTTAGACCAATTTACTAGATGACATCTCTTAGTCACACGATTTTCTAACAAAAATTTACTCATTATATAATTTTAGGATGTGTGCAAATATTAATTGCTACAGATGACATCAGGAGATATCCCATTGTGTAGCATGTTTTCATTGTCATCTCTACGTGAGAATTCTATCTTTTCAACACTGTGCATGACGTGTGCCAAGGTGGTGATTATTTCTTTAAAGGACAACCCTCCCTTATAATTTGACGAGTTTTGGCGCCAATTTAAAAATTTCCTAAAAAACATCAACCATTTTAGGGTGAGTTTCAAAAAAGCCTATGAACAACATTCATTTTCGTAGGAATTTGAAAAGGAAAAAGACCACCTCAACAGTCCCTTCAATTTGACGAGTTATTAAAACTTCTTCAAATCCTAGCTAATTGCCCGTGCGTTGCAACGGAAGCATACATATTTTAGTGGTTCACATCAATTGTATCTCACATATACTTCCACCCACTATATCCGCCTCCCCAATCCAATCCTACCACATATGTCAGTTACTCGTCCTGCCACAATCACTTCCGTTGCCACCGACACACAAACATTGGATTTTAAACACACAATTGTGCAGTTGTGTATAGGTGAAGATTTCAAGAAGGAAAAAAACATATGTAAGAGGTCGTCCATATCCATCTAGCCTCTACACGACATTAGGACGAAAGGAAAATTGAAAACATAGGAACTTAATCTTGGTCTAGCAAAATCAAAATTGGAGAAACACATGAGCTCACAAGTGGACCTAAAGATATGGGAACAACTCATAATGAATAACAATATTAAGAAAATCGGTAGTTAAATGCTCGGATAACCATTTTTTAGTATATTTTATCAATGTTTATATTTTACAACATCCTTCTTAAGATCTAGCCTTTGCATAGAACATTCGCGTTCTCACAACATTGATGGACCGCTAGGGCTTGGACGCACTCGTAAGAAGATTTAGTACTATCAACTAGTATTCAGTAATGGATTAGGCAGGACACTTGTCTGGATATTTTAATTTCATGTACTACATTTACATATTACTGAAGGAAGACGATGTAACATCAGACAAGTAAAATTGAAATAAAAATCAGTGGGAGTACTATGTTTCCAATTTTCCAAACGGAAAAAGGATTAGCTTTCGTATTAGTGAAGGAAGGAGATGTGACGTCGGTCAAATAACATTATAAATAAATCAGTGAGAGAGGGTGAAAAATGATGGGAGATGTGATATCTTGCAGAAAAAATTGGAAATAAAGTAGTGGGGTACTACGTTTCCAATTTGCCAAACAAAAAAGATTAGTTTTCATATTAATGAAGGAAGAAGATGTGATGTCAGGTTAATAAAATTGAATGTAAATCAGTGGAAGGGGCTATGAATTGAGGGGAGGGGAGTGGAAGCGATACAAGGGAACGGACTTACCAACTCCCCTTTAATAGTAGATAGAGATAGAGATGTTGATCCAGAATTATTGTTTTTTGTTCCAAAAGTCTCCAGGATAACCCCTCTAAACCATGGACTATAGCTCCGCGGACTAGATGCATGGTTGAATAGCAGATTGTGTCTGCAGGTACTCAGTTCATCGTGCGTGCAACTAGTGTGGCATAATTGACTAGCATTTCTGATTATTAATTGATGTTAATATATAGTACCTCGGACGGGGGTTGCCCTTGACCACTTTCTGGCCGTACTTGCGCCACCGGTAGCCGTCGTCCAGCAGATCGACCTCGCTCGGCGTCTGCAGTATGATCTTGTGCTTCCTCACCACCCTCTGCCCCGCCGGACCACCTGCGCCACTGATCAACACAAACATACCGGCGACTCGGCCGTTAAGTTTCATTGACCGAAGACCAGAACTCCAACGAGAACGTGCATGCATGTAGATGTAGTGCAGCCCACCCACCTGCCAATGTCAATGCCCTCCTCGCCGTCATCCTCGTCGTCGCTCAGCTCGTCGTCCTGATGAGCGCCGACGGCGCTGCTGGGGGCGGCGGCGTCCTCCGCTCCGCTGCGCCGGGGCTCGGGGGGCCGCGGGTGGGTGTGCCGGCCCTTGTAGGTGATCTCCTTGATGCAGCCGTCGAAGGAGCGCTCCACGATCTTCTTGACGGGGCAGGCGTCCCGGGTGCACTTGTAGTAGCTCCGCGGCGACTCGGCGTCCTTGAGCTGCTTCTGCCCGTACTTGCGCCAGTTGTAGCCGTCCTTGGCCGGCTGCTCGATGGGGGGCGCCGGCGCCGCGTGCGGGCCGCCTAGCGCCGCCGCGCGCAGCAGCTGCATGTGCATCTGCTGCTCGTGGTGGTGCGACTGCGGGTACGCCGGCGTTTGGTGGACCGTGAAGTTGCGGGGCAGCAGGGAGGAGGAGGGCGACGGCGCCATTGCCCGCGGAGGCCATTGCGGCGGCAGATCGGCCTGGAAGTAGGACGACGACGACGACGACGGGTAGGGGTGGAGGTTGGCGGCGAGGGGTGCCACGAAGGATGCAGCCGTCTGGTGCTGCTGGTAGGACGACGTCGGCACGTAGTTCGCCTGCATGAAGTGAAAAGAGTGCAGTTTTATCTCCGTGTGTTCTTCACATTTGAGGCTGCAAATCTAAATCTTATGCAAGTAGGATGACTACTGTATGATCATTATAGCTAGAGAAGAAAAAGGACCTGAGATGGATCTTTTATTTGCACTAAGATTATCATTCATTCTATGGAGCTAGTAATCCATGGCATGTATGGAACCCTCGATCAAAGACTGGCAACAGTATCAAGAGTCTATATGAAGGCACAAAAAACAGCAGGATAAAACAAAAACCATATCATGGGGGATTCCTATTTCTAGAAATCAGCATCGAGAAGAAGGTTTCTTCTAGCTATAGCAGCACACAAAACCCTCTCCATTTCATTGACTTGCACCGGCGAGACCAACACCAGATTAATAGAGAAGCCAGCAGACGATCTTTGCTTACCATGGAGAAGTGAGGAGTGAGATTGATGGTCGGCGGGGCCACGTCGTCGACCCCCCACGCCTGCTGTGCCGGCAGCGACTGCTGGGGGTTGACGCCGGAGCCAAGAAGCGACATGTAGGACGATCCAGGATCGTAGTCGTTCCCGAACGCCGGGCCGCCGCCACCGCCTCCGCCGTCGAAGACCCGCTCCTGATGGCCCGACGAGTAAGGCGGCTGCTGGCGCATGCCGTCGCCTCGCCGATCGGCCATTGCCTGTTGCCGCTTCTCGGCACAGTAGGGGGGGGAGAGAAGACTGTGCAACGGGCAACGACAGGGACGCGCCCGCCGACCAAACCAGATAGAAATAGAGAGGGTCGGGAAGGCTATGCTGGAGGAGTGCCGTGAGCCAAGGGTGGCGGCAGCACACAGAGCCTTCTGAGATCAGAAGAACTTGTCCGATCATAGTACTACTACGTCGCAGCTAGTGATTTGGTGGTAATGGTATATAAAAAAGTCGCGAATTTGGCTTAATTGGTCTACGCACAGTAGGTTTCAAAACGGATTTGTCTGCGTGCCTGTGTACAACCGGGCGTCATTATTCGATAATCCGAGATTTGGGATGCTGAATGTGGGGGAGCATGACCGCGCGCAACGTGGACCAAATGTTCCAGTTGTCTGCAAGTGTGGCCAGTTGAGCGAATGCATCGAGCTGAAAGGATATATTTTTCTACTATTATTATCTTTTGTATAGGGCCTATGAAAAATGCGGTTTTGTACTACTAACAAACTTCTGCGTATTATATCGCCCTTGTCTCAAGTTTTTTTTAAGAGAAACTAAAAGCATTTCCGGCCTCTTTCGAACTGTTGCCAACGTGTTGTGATTTTACACCCAATTATGGCCAGATTATTAATTAATATAAACGTCTCTATGACATCCAGTCCAGCAGCTTTCTCCAGCTCGATCGGTGCCAAATGGGCGCTTTTAACGCGTCTGCTGCTGCGATTGGCGGCCAAACAAGACTTGCGCTCAATCTATTTGTTTAAATAATCCACAAGATTTCTACAGTTTTTAATCGCCTTCTGGCTGTCAATCCCCTGTTCGTCATCATAATTGAAAAATAAAAACATAATGGAAGTAGTAGTGCTAAACCAGACCAAATATTCCTGGATTTCTGTCACGGGGAGATAAGCTTTGCAGTAGCGACATTATGGTGTTCAGTTTTGAGACAGAATTCAAGCTCCTTATACAAATCCACCGTTCATGAGGCATTAGCTTCTAGTACCTCTGTTTGGATACATATCACGCTTAGAAATTGTGCGGGCAAACTTCCCTAGCATTACGACATATATACAAATATATTTTGTTTGGTAGGTGCAAGTAGTATAGTTATATTTCACATGTAATAAATCATTTTCAAAATATAAGACTGTTACAATGTTACAAACATCTACATTAAAATGACAAAAATGTAATAATCATCTCAGAAGGCACTTGTCAAAGGCATCATTTGTTTACAAACGACGTGGAGCTTCTAGACCTGTTTTCAAATGATCCACTCCATTCCTTGACCACACTTTTTTACTCCCAATATTTGGAACAAAGATGAGAGGAACGTACCATCACGTTCATTACCAGTTCAGATGCAGATCACAGTCCAGTAGCTAGCAAAACCAATTTCTATCCGAAGATGGCATGTGAAAGTGCAAGGACAAATATGCAAATATAAAGGTTAGTGTGTATTTATATGCCAAATAACAATTAGAAACCAGTTGGTTTATGAATGCAAATAAAAGATTTAGCCAAACAAGAAAGAAACACCAGCTCGATACTTTTCAAAAAAAAATTACCATAGAAACAATATATATATATTCATCTATAGTGTATTGAACAATGTACAACAGCACTAGCCAGTGAGATTACTTGAAAGCTCACAGAATTGGTGCATTACATTTTGTACAAAGAATAGCTCTGACTCACTGACTCATACTTTGGTCTCTATGAAGTAGGTCGACGACACAGCCAGACCAGCCGAGTCGAAGGTCCGCACGAGCCGCTGCCTCTTTCCTGGCGATTCCATCCAACAAAACTCCAAATTAAAAGGATCTAACTGCTCAATGCACTTGCTGATGTCTGATGGATATCCCATGTACATCCCTCCAGGTAGCAAAGTAATCTCATATCCTCCATCAAACTGAAGCAAGTTGTTATTCGCTACTCCTGTCCAGTGGATCGTTGTTGTCGTGCTAGTTCCGGTTTTCGTTGATATATTATCCTATGAAGATAAGAAACCATTGATACAAAAGTCTTCGAACAAATTTAAACATATATAAAGTCTTTGAAGAAAATGTAGTAATACTTAAGAAAACATTTCTTCTGCAGTACCATTTGACATTGAATAAAAAAATACTACATAACATTAGCGTCGTCTAACCAGAAATTATTTTAGTGCTTATGAAACACACTGTTATGTAAAATAAAGAATGAACACAAGGATGTTGATGTCCGCATGGATAAAGATAAGCCACCAATCCACGCACGACATGCAACTCTTGAAATGCATTAGCTACAAGTTCAGCCATAGTTATTTAGATCCATTTTTCTAAAACATTTGTTGGAATTACCTCTACCATAGACTAAAATATACCTGAATCAGCTGACCATTGTTGTCCATTTCAAGAAGGACAACCGTATCAGCCTCATCGAGTGTTGCTCCATACACCCCACTCCTCTTTGTCACAGAATGGCCCTCCCACCTTCCAAGCAGGGCATTTATCCTATCGTTGCTGGGAATCTGGTGACAAAGGATAAAAGGTATATCTTAGCATATGACCCTGACGTAAGTTCATCGATACGAAGATTACAACACTTGACCATGAGAACTCACCTCAGGATCATTACTTGAAGAGTCGGCGAGTGGTAATACGGTGCCTTGATTTTCATGAAAAACAATAAGTGTATCGAGCACCCCCTTAGGGTCCATTATGTGGAAAGCTCTTACCCGGCCATTGCCATCAAGAGAGTAAATACAATTCTCACAGACAATAGATGGTTTACGAGAAGGAAGCTTCAAGTTTCTGTTGAAGTCAAAACAGATACATCTTATGATAAGGGCATCATAATGCAGGTAAACACCTAAGACAATGGATAATATATGTTTACTTGGGGGACTCTTCACCAGTATCATCATCTCCGAGCACACCGGCTCGAAGGACAGTCTCCAGCATTCCAGCGGTCTGATATCTCAACGCAAATGCCTTCTGGTCAGGGAAGAACCCAATCTGTGCACTAAACAATATATCTCGTTAAAAATGCTCGGAACCAAAAAAAAGTAAAAACATAATAACCAAGAACTTCAGTCCACCTGCTGATATTTGTCTACAGTGAACATGTTGGTCTCTTTGATTTTGTACTCCGCCCACTCCGGTTCAGGATCCTCCTCGTCTGCAAATGTTATCCCGGACGATCCCTGCTTGATATACAGCCTGCAAGACACAATTGCAGATACATCATTCAGAGAACAAGGTCCTGGGATAACATTTGCATGAGGCTTGGATGGTCAAAATGCTTGCAGAAATCAGCTTAGAACTTGACTTGACTGAAGATGCAGACAAGTGAACATAGTAACACCGAAGCATTACGATTGCATGAGGCTGATGAGGTCGCCCTCTCCGTAGGTGCTGGCGGACAGGCGCGTGCTGATCTCCTGCTGCACCCTCCCGTGCGCATCGAATTGCTGCACACAGACAATGCTTAAGCGAAGCAGGGACCCGGAAGCAGGGAGGCTTTGGGGATTATAAAGGGCGGAGGGCGGCGCGTACGTACGTAGAAGACGCCGTTCCACTTGCCGACGTTGAGGTCGAAGAAGCTGCAGAGGTTGTCGATGCTCATGGCCTCGTCCTCGTCCACCTCCGGCGCGCCCGTGACCGCCGCCCGGGCGCAGAGCCGGCCGCGCCGGAGCTGGGGGAGGCGGTGGTGGGCCGGCACGGCGGCGCAGGGGCGTCGGTTGCCCCGTGGATGCGGAACCGCGGAGGCGGCCAGACGGAGGCCCACGAGGGTTTCCGCCATGGCCAGCGGAGTGAAGCGGGAGGAGAGGGGTGTTGGTGTTTTTGCGTTCAGCTGCTCTCTGAACCTTATCGATTCTGACCCTCGCCATTGGTGAAGACGTATTGCAAGTGAAATACGTATTCGCCATGGCAAAGCGCGTTTTCACGTTTCCTACTTCTAACATATGCAGTTTCTACTTTCTAGCAGAAAAAGAAATAAAAATACAACGTTGCACCTGCAGGATCAAGCTCCACTCTGCACTTACGTCTGAAAAAATATCACAACTCTACACAACTGCATATAAATTACTATAAAATACTACAATCGTTGCTCCAGTCAAGGCAAGGCACACCAGATGTATAGCAATCAAAAGATGGCATGAATGCCTAAACATACATACAACAAAACACAACACAACATATGATGGCATGAGTGCTACTCTGCCCGGCTCAATAATGTTAGGGGGGAGGCTACAGTCGCAGGCTTGATTGGTTGTACAAGAAGTAGGCTGGACCGGTCTGGGTAAGAAGAGAGCTTCTACTCTCAGGGAGACTTTTTCCTTTTGGAATCCCGCATCGTTTCGATAAATATCTGGTGCCCCTCCACCTCCAACCTGACCAACAGAAACAGAACATACAAGGGTGTTAACTGGTTACCAAAAACGGACTAGCACATGCTTTCTTATCTTATAGAAACGAAAAGAGACGCGAGGATGAAACGCCAGTGACCATATAGTGCTACAATAGACAAATGCCAAATCGGAGATAGAAGCGCAGCAGACAACAAACCCAAGGCAGATGCCAATCATAGGTCCACAATGATCAGTGTGCAGAACACCCAGGCTAAGACTAGGGCAACTATGCAGCCAAAATCAAGAGAGGGTATTTTGTCGACGAGGTAGCAAGAAAGAACTATGTTTAGCAAAAAGTTTCAGGCTGCCAACAAGCTCAATAATGATGAGGAAACATTTTCTGTAGGGCCTAGTCGACATATGTACACGGCACAACTTGGAAGTGCAGACATATCTAGTCGATGCTAATCTCATTGGCAGTCATTTTTCATGCATAACTGAATATAGGTGAAGGCACGTGAATATGTCAATTATTTTTAGCAGCAGTGTCTCAATGGTAGTTGTGCTTCACAAATTCAAGATGAATAGAATGTTACTAATGATAAAGCAATAAGAGGATTTGTGATTTAGTAACCACTCACACTCTGTCTGCTCCTTGATGAGTATAGTTTGAAGCAACAGCCAAGAGTTGGCCACTATGGTTATACGCCATCGACGCCAAACTGCCCGAAAAGCTAGGAAACTGCACGGGTAAAATGATTATACTTTCAAGTTACAAACCGAAGAACAAAAAAGGAAGCACAGTACGTGATAGTAAAAATACAATTGAAAATAAAACTATCACAGGCAGGGCCCAAAAGTTTGCTTTTATGTTTAGTTGTTCATGGCAGCATCAATCATGTAATGCGTGCAATCTTAAGTCCATATATTTAGCAAGTGTTCAGTACTTAAGAAACCTTGTGAAGAAACTAAGAATAATATTGATCGACCAGATGTTTCTTCAAAATACTGCCTCCGTTCGGAATTACTTGTCGCGGAAATGGATGAATCTAGAACTAAAATGTCTAGATACATCCATATTCGAGACAAGTAATTCCGAACGGAGGGAGTATAACAGAAACAGCCCACTTCTTTCGGTTTGCAGAATATTGCGTTCTTCTAATAGTAGTTTTGTATATTTGTGTCACATATGTCCAATGTGTATGTAACATGTGAAATAGTCTTTTTACAGCGGTTTCTCAGAAAAAATTATACTAAAGGCCTGTTCGGAATTCCACCAGCTCCACGAAATTCCAGGAGCTGTGGAGCCAGAAAATAGCTGCTCTGCAGTTTTCAACTGCAACTCCACCAACTCCGGGAGTGGAGTTGTGGAGTGGAGGTGCTCCGAACAGGGCCTAACAGGAATGGTACTCCTACCATGATGCTCATATTTCCAGTCTATTCACAACAGTTCTTAGCTAATAGATAAAGTTTAGCAGGAGGACCTTGGGTAAGACGCCACTCTCAAGTGATGTGACACGTTTAGTGAATTTTCCACCCCATGTAACTACTTCCTTTTTAGGTCAAACAGTCTATAATCAAGATGTAATTTTTAGAAGAACCAGATATTACCTCAAGCAGCTTCTTTTTTTTAAAAGCATCCCAGGCAATGGCATATCCTTCATTATCTCCAGTAACAAAAGTTTGCTTGCTGCCAACCAGAGCATACAAATTTAATTTCACTTTGAGAAGAATTGTAGTAGGAAAATGTACAAAATTACAAGACTTACGATGGATGAACTGCTATACTATTTACGGGAACTAAACTGGATGTTCCATCTTTTGATCTTGGATGACATCGAAATGTATATCTGCAAAAGCACAAATATCTCAAGAAGTTACATGGGTAATTGGCACTTCAGGTGCATCTACTTTGTTCTAGGCTTAGATTAGTCCCTCTACTTTAAAAATGCCAACTATGTTCCACAGTCGGCCCTCCGGTGAATGAATATAAGATGGACAGGAAACTGAAACATATGAGCAACTTATCTACTTTAGATAGAGGTTACACATGACATAATCAGCAATTTTGGCATATATTGTTACTCATGTTGATTTCGACTTTATTGCATTTTACATATATGCATAATAGATACTTCCATTAGTAACAAGTGCAGCAATATAAGAAAGAAACCTAAAATGTCAATCACGGTTGTACATCATCCCAATGCAAATAAACCGAACAAAAATGAGCAGAAAGGAAGTACCAAAACTAACCCCATGTCATTGTCTACTTTATGGTCAAAATACTTCAACGCAACAGTTCCATCCATATATCCAGCCGCGTAACCTAATAAAAGTGTATCCAGCCATCAGTCAGAAATCAAGATATCTGTAATTAAAAAACAGCTACTTTAGATCAACAAATAACACTTATTCAAGTCATTAAGCATTCAATAAAATATGTATGTATGTATGTATGTATATATGTATGTATGTATGTATGTATGTATGTATGTATGTATGTATGTATATACTAGACTCCACCATCGTCCCTTCCATGATTCTGCTTCAAACATAATAACTAGCAGTTCCTAAAGAAACATGAAATATCCATACCATTCCACTCTGCAGAAGCACAAAGACACCGTATATGATGCTTCAAGGGGGAATCTTTTGCCTTAATCGGCCCTGTTAAATTCCTCATGTCATACCAGTAAACATCACTCTCAACTGTGACTAATATATACATGCCACAGACTGAAAGTGATACCACCACTGAATCTAACATGAAAGTGTGGTTAGGGTTTACACTTCTTGTGTGTGTATCCCAGAAAAGTAACTTCTTGTCAAGGCTAGAAGTTACCAGTTGACCTGAAAATAATGTAAAAGGTACTATTAGTAAACGCAAGCTCCAATGTGAGAAGTAAATATATTAAGAAGCAACTTTGACTGTTTTGAACAATGAAAAAATCAGTACATAGATATTTCGTATTAGTCAGTAATGTCATAGTTTACAACTAAAAAACTATGAGGCTAAACCATCAGTCCACCACCATCCCAGTGGTACTGTTTGAATTGGGCATTAAAAAGCTTAGGTTCATAGTATAATTTCCTATTCAGTAAATGAGGATACGATACACCCTGTTTTATTAAGGCATCTAATGCTCCAGGAAAAACACCCAAAAAATCAGAGAGGAGATCATTAAAAATGGCAATGCAACTTACCAGTAATCTGGGAGAACTCAGTGCTGACAACCACATCGTCATGCAGACCCACTGTATCTTGAGCCCCTGAATTCAAGTCATACCTGGGAATATTCTCATCAGCATAAATACTAATGCATATAAAATAGAGAAGGCCAGGATTGAGACATTATTTTTTAGTGCAAAATGTAAAACAGCAGTGACGGGGACACACCAAACTTTCCTACTTCAGTTCTGATGTATATTCAATAGTGTTAATGCAGTGAAATTGTACTCCCTCCGTTCCGAATTACTTGTCGCAGAAATGGATGTATCTAGATGTATTTTAGTTCTAGATACATCCATTTCTGCGACGAGTAATTTGGAACGGAGGGAGTAAAAACCAAGGCAATTTATCTGTTTGGGCTTGTTGGCTTGTAAAGTTTTACTTCTGAATTTCATGTAAGGGATGTGTGTTGGAGTTGAAAAGAAAATTGGTGGAGGAAGGGCTGAGGGCTGATGAAACTAGTCATAAATCCATGCATCTGCTTCATCTGCACGGGCTAGTTTTTCAAGGACAAACAAACAGTAAAGAAATGGTGTGCTTACAATGTGACATATAATTGCACATAGGAATGTGAAATGTAGGGAAAACATGTTACTAATACGTTTTCAAAATATTACTCTTCAAAACTAGAAAGAGATGAATCAAAAATAAAAAAGAAAAACAGTTATCATAAGTTACAGTTGATCCAGTATAGGTGTGGTATTGTTTGTTTTCTCGCTTAATGTGGAAAGTTCTGAATCTATTTATAAGGCCAGATGGAAAAAAAGGTACACATAAATAGATATACTGGAGATAGGGAAGTCATTGCTTCATGTTCTGAACATTACATTTATACACATATAACAGAAATAACTCAACCGGGATTCATTAAATCTAACATGTCGATAAATTGGATCTTCTTTTCCCATAAGGGGCGCTTTATTACTTAAAATGTTTAAGTATTACACCGGCCTCTGAAATTGGATCTTCTAATGGCCTCCATCGCCACTATTTGATCTACACTCTGTCTTTTCTATATGCAGTTGGCACGCAGCATTAAATTTCAACTTTCTTCTGCCCAATACTACCTAAAACAGATAGCTAAAAGCAAAACACATAAAAGTGACTCAAACAAACCGTATTATCAGAATTTCACCCATAAAGCCAAGCAGCTGATATAGATGGGGTTACATTTGTTTTGTCTGACATTTTTCATTTCCATTGTATACTTCAATTTATCTGCTGAAATAAAGTACATAGATATGTAACTGAAATTATTCTAATTTCAGAGTTTACCTTAAATAATTACAAAGGTAAATAAGACAATTCCTACTGCCATGCTCTGAACGAATTCTACCAGGCTTTATGAAGTGTGAAATGTCGATACAAATAGATCTTCTAGTTGAATGGGTCAGATTTTATTTCTAGTTTTGTCCCTTAGAATTAATATGGTGCCTCAAAGGGGGCTGTAATCAGAACAGAGGACAGTGCCCCTACATTTGGAAAAGAAGAACGCTACAAGCATTATGTTTCTGTCATGCTTAAGCACATGGATTTCGTGAAGTGTTGCAACTAATTGTGTTGATACCTTATTACAGATCCATCCGAACCGCCTGCGAAGGCCGCAGACTCATCTTTGAAACAGCAGTCCAGAAGTGCTGCCTCAGAATTCGCCTCCAGCCGGAGAATGGATTTGTCTGCATCGTACAGCCGCATTCCCTGCAGAACAAAATTCCGCACGAAACCCTGTCAGGAATCTCCTCCTCAAAGATAAAGTGCCCTAATTTCATCTCAAATAAATGCATCAAATTCGGAAGCCAGGATGAGCTAAATTGGGCAAGAGTTACAGCGAATCTTCTCCAAAAATGTTCGAGAAAACACACACCTGGCTAATTGCGCCGCCCTCGAATCTAAACAAACCACATGTAGAAGCATGCTACTACCACCAAGAGACGGCGAAGCCAAAAAAGATAAGGAGGGGGAGAGAGATCTCACCGAGTCCCAGGAGGAGACTATGAGGTTGTTAGAGGACGGCGCGAATCGAACCCTGGAGACGGCGCCGGCGCCAGCCGCCAGCCCTCGCCTCGCCATCGCGCGGTCTCAGAAAGTAGGAGCGAGGGTTTGGGAGTTTTGAGTTCTCCCGGCGCGCTCCTGGGAAGATGGCAGCGCCGCCGCTTCTTGCCGCTACCTTCCCCCGAACAGCTGGCTGCGGCGTCCCACAGCGATGGAAGAGACGGCGGGCGCAGGCGGGCGCGCGGAGGAGTTGCGCCGAGCCGGAGCGCTGCCGTCGGCCGCGGCGTCCCCAGGAGTGGCGGGGAAGGAGACGGAGCAGGCGGAGGTTGGCTTGCCTCCAGAGGGTGCGGCGGCGGTTGGGGATGAACGGGATGCGCGACGGCGGGCGCGTCGGGTGAATTGAATTTGGGTCGACCTGGGCGCGGGATGGCTTGTGTTTCTTTTCTCGTTCTTGAAAATTTGCTCATTCGCCACAAGGGTAAGGTGGTATTTTCATATGCATAGCCAACTGTATTCTCCATACATTGGTTAATTCCACACCTAAAAACTTACTGCAGTTGGAAAGAACTTGATGTAGTCGTAGGCTCGTAGCTAATACTCTATTAGCTAATGTTTGCCTATTTTCCCAAAGTAACGAGTCTTCCAAATTGGAGATACCAGAAAAACGGCTCATGTCACCTGTGCCACCCATGTCTGGCGGCATGGGGAAAACCCTAACCGCCGTTGTCAGTAGGCCTCCCCCCCACTCGCCGCCGTTCGAGGGCCCACACGGCAAAGTTGTGCTGACTTGGGAGGTGGCGGCACGGCAGTAAGAGCATCTCCAGCCATTGACCTCTCAGGGGGCGCATAAAATCGCCTCCTCGAGGCGAGTCGGCGCTAAACTCAGCGTGGGGGCTTACGGATTCCCAGCCGCCGGCCCCAGGGTTGTCCCCAGAAGCCTTTTTTAAGGAATTCGGCAAAGTTCGGCAAACTGGACAAATATTCGGCTAAAGTTCGGTAAACTGGACAAATATTCGACATTACATAACAAAGTTTTTTTAAAAAATGTCGCAACTACAACTACGGGGCGAAGAAGTCGCTGAGCGCGGCGAAGTCGCCGCCACCGTTGCCGTCGTCCTCGTCGGCCTTCTCCTCCTTGATGCGGCCACCTTTGCTGGACCCCTGCCCGGCGTCGCCCTGGCGGACCGGTGGCAGCGGCGCGTCATCGTCGCTGTCGTCGAGGACCATGACGCCGCCCTCATCGCGTCCAGGCGTCGAGCGGCGAACTGCTCGTAGGCGCGGCACTGGCGCTCCAGCTCCGTCCGCGCCCAGTTTTCACGCGCCCACTTCAAGGCCGCCTCGTCGTCGAGCTCCTCCTTGACGCCGCCGGCGAGACCTGGCTCCGTCTTCACGATGGCGAGACCCGGCTCCGTCTTCACGACGGCGAGGCCCAGCTCCGTCTTCGGTTTGATGTAGCGGGGAGGAGCCGAGGAGGAGGCACGCCCGCCGCCCTCGTTGATGATGATGTCGGCGCTGCGGGTGCGCCGGTCGAGCGGCGTCTCCACTGCAGGCTCAGCCTTGACGCCGAACACCACCGACGAGCTGGAGGAGTGGGAGGAGGAGCGGGAGGAGGAGTGCGAGGAGGAAGATGAGGAGGAGCCGAACCTCCTGGGCATCCATTGCCCGGCGCTCCGGCGGGGGACCAGGGCGGCGGCCGCGGCAGGGTACGCCAGCGGCGGATCATTGTCGCCCTCGAGGTACTGGAGAACCTCGTGGAGTGTGCGGCCGGGGGCGCCCCACTATAGGCGGCGCCCCTCGCTGTTCTTGATGCCCACCACCACCGGCACCCCGTTGGTGGATGCCAGCCGCTGCGCCTGCCGGTGCTGGAAGTACACCGCCCACGACTCGTGGTTGTCGGCGGCGTACCGCGGGAGGGCGAGCTGCTCCTCCGTCAGCAACGCCGGCACGCGGTCGACCTCGGCAGCGAAGAGTTGTCGGGACAATTTAAGCAGAATAAAATATCTATTATCAATTTTTTAGAATCGAATTAGTCTATTTTTTTGCTATTTTGTACTGTATAATTCCTTTGTTTATGGGATCATTTTCCCCGAGGGTTTCCAATCAATGGGGCGTAGTATAGGTCGCTGTTTTATAGGCTTTCTGTAGGATTGAAAGTATGTCTAGAGGGGGGTGATTAGACTTCACCAAATAAAAACTTATCCTTTCCCTAATTTTAGTTCTTGGTAGATTTTAGTAACTTTGGACAAGTCAAGCAATCTTAACACAATTCAAGCAAGCGTGCAAAGAGTATATAAGCAGCGGAAAGTAAAGCATGCAACTTGCAAGAATGTAAAGGGAAGGGTTTGGAGGATTCAAACGCAATAGGAGACACGGATGTTTTTGTCGTGGTTCCGGTAGGTGGTGCTATCGTACATCCACGTTGATGGAGACTTCAACCCACGAAGGGTAACGGCTGCGCAAGTCCACGAAGGGCTCCACCCACGAAGGGTACACGAAGAAGCAACCTTGTCTATCCCACCATGGTCATCGCCCACGAAGGACTTGCCTCACTAGCGGTAGATCTTCATGAAGTAGGCGATCTCCTTGCCCTTACAAACTCCTTGGTTCAACTCCACAATCTCGTCGGAGGCTCCCAAGTGACACCTAGCCAATCTAGGAGACATCACTCTCCAAGAAGTAACAAATGGTGTGTTGATGATGAACTCCTTGCTCTTGTGCTTCAAATGATAGTCTCCCCAACACTCAACTCTCTCTCACAGGATATGGATTTAGTGAAAAGAGGATTTGAGTGGAAAGCAACTTGGGAAGGCTAGAGATCAAGATTCATATGGTAAGAATGGAATATCTTGGCCTCAACACAAGTGTAGGTGGTTCTTTCTCAGAAAAAGTAAGTTAGAAGTGTAGGTTTGTTCTGATGGCTCTCTTCTAGAATGAAGAGGTGGTGGAGGGGTATATATAGCCTCCACACAAAATCTAACCGTTACACACAACTTGCCAATCTCGGTGGGACCGAATTGATAAACTCGGTCGGACAGATTCAGCAAAGCTAGTGACCGTTAGGAGTTTTGGTGGGACCGATATGGTTAGGGTTAGGGCATAACGTAATATCGGTGAGACCGATTTTGGTAATAAGCTAACCAGAGAGTTGGTCAGGTAAACTCGGTGGGACCGATCGCTCATTTCGGTGAGACCGAAACATTACGAAGGGGAAACAGAGAGTTTACATTGCAATCTCGGTGGGACCGATCGCTCATCTCGATAAGACCGAAATGTTACGAAGGGAAACAGAGAGATTACAATCCCATCTCAGTGAGACCGAGATCCCTATCGGTGAGACCGATTTGCCTAGGGTTTGTGGCAGTGGCTATGACATTTGAACTCGGTGGCGCCGGATAGAAAGAATCGGTAGGGCCGAGTTTGACTTTTGGTTTAGGTCATATGTGGATGTGAGAAAGTAGTTGAGGGTTTTGGAGCATATCACTAAGCATTTTGAGCAAGAGCCTCATTAAGCAACACCTCATCCCTCCTTGATAGTATTGGCTTTTCCTATAGACTCAATGTGATCTTGGATCACTAAAATAGTAAATGTAGAGTCTTAAGCTTTGAGCTTGAGCCAATCCTTTTGTCCTTAGCATTTTGAGGGGTCCACTTTTCTCATCTATGCCATGCCAATCATTGAGCTTTCCTGAGATATTAATCTTGAAATAGCATTAGCTCAATGAGCTATATGTTGTTAGGAATTACCAAAACCACCTAGGGATAGTTGCACTTTCAATCTCCCCTTTTTTGGTAATTGATGACAACATATATATCAAAGCTTCGACAAATGATAATAAGAATGAAAAACATTGTCACTTTGAGAAGTATGTGAAAAGCAAGAGCTCCCCCTAAATTTGTGCATAGTTTAAGATTTGCTTTGGACTGCAAATGCACAATGAGTTAGGATCATGGGTTACTCTTCCATGTCACATACATCTTGGTGGAGCGCTCAAAATGATAATAATTAAATACATGCACTCATCACCAAGCAAAGTGAATGATCATATGGGGATATAAAAAGATAATGTCATCCAACAAGCATTAAGGTAGCATATGATCAAACACATGATCATCCAAGTATCACACAAAAGCATAAATTATCTCAAACAAGCAAATAACAAAGTTCAACCACCAAGCAATAAGAGAGAACAAAAAACAACACTCTCTCTCGAAGCCTATGATCTATACATTTTCTCTCCCTTTGGCAACAAGTTACCAAAAAGTTCATAAAAAATGCATAGTGCTAGATCGACTCTCAGGCTTGGTCTTCAGGTGGTGGTGTAGATAAAACACCAAGGACGAAGGCATCAGTTGATGTAGATGGAGCTGGTGGAGTGGGTGCTGGAGCTGGTGGCACTGAAGCTGCAGCTGGTGCAGATGAAGTTGCTCTGGTGTCTGTAACAGGCACTGCAGCAGATCTCTGTCCTCTGGGCACTCTAGCAAAAGCATCAGTGGTAAACTTGCCCTTCTTCTCCTGCACTTCATCCTGAAGTTTCTCACAACTGACTGGATCTCAGTGACCTTCACATCTAAGTCATAGAACTTCTGCTCCATGATCCTCTCCAAGCTCTCCTGGTTTTGAGTCAGGGTGGCCAATCCCTTATCAATCCTAGAGTGGAGGCAATCAAGTAGCCAAGCTGATCTTGCTTGCCCTTCAGAAGAATGGTTGACATCTTTGCAGCCTTTTCAATCCTTGCCTTCTCCCTCTTTGCTTGTGCATGCACAGAAGATGGTTCATTCTCATCCATCACCACAGTGTTGTCCTCAAAGTCTGGGTAGATGGGCATGTGTTCCTTGTCCAAGAGATATGTGCCAGTGCCCATCTTGGAATTGATTAGCTCCTGGATCTATGGGGCATACCCACAACTTCTCTTCTGATCTGCAGCTGTTCTCTTTATGGTTTCCACAATTAGGCTCATGACTTTGAACTTTTGAGGCACATCAAATATGTGAAGCAGGTTAATTACATGGCCTCTGATCATCTTGTGATCACCTAACTTTGGCAAGAGAGTGTGCCTGAGGATCCAGTTGATTGTTGG